CCCACTTAGAGCTGTGCCCATCCCTTACCTCACTTCTTGGCATTTGCAATGTATGCAGCTGCGCTCGAGCCTATTTTCACCACTTAACTAAACTTACCCACACAGATGAGGCCTCCAATAACCCTTACACTCAGTCTCACACGAGACCAACAATCAACCACCTCGTTGCGGATACAAACTCACGCTTAAGTCGCTCTCACAGCATACGTCTAAACTCATCCCTCACCACTGACGCCCATACAACAATAAACCAGTCTGGTAGATATTGCATTCAGAGCACAACAGTCGACAAGCGCATCTGACTACTAATCACCTTTCTTGTCTCCTTTCACGACTATCGAGAAAGCAACTGGGCGTGTACATAGTTCTGCCGCGTCGTATCATGGACCGCCTCGTTCTAGGCATGGGCGCAAAACCAACAAACCGAAGATCAGCCTTTTCAACATTGGACGGAGCTGCTTCCCTGCCAATAGACAAGTGGATGGTTCGCATCCCGACAAACGTGCCTCAATGAACTGCATTGTCAATGCAACTCACCTCAGCGCTCGCGCATGTGCGGGTCGCACAATGATGCTCTCCCCATTCAGTCGGTGAGGACGTGCATCCAGGACAGCCTCCACTTCTACATGTGTGCTCATGTTCACAAAGGCAATGCCTCGTGCCTTTCCACTTTCACGATCGAGAATCACGTCCACACTGGTCACCTTGCCATAGTGGGAGAAGTGCTGCCTCAACTCCTGCTGCGTGATCGAAGGACTCAGATTGCCAACGAAGAGACGCAGCTTGTTTACTTCTGCGCGACTATCGTTGCTGCTTCCTTCGTTCTTGTGCTTCTTCTTCCCCACGACACCTTTCCTAAATACAATGCACAATCACACTACAAGCTCTCACCACCTCCCTCAAATCTCGTCTTTGTTTCCATGGCACTCCACCCGTCCATCTGCCAACAATAGCACAACCCAATACCTCATTGGTAGTGGTGGTAGCTCACTCAACAACCTCCTCTCACTCTTCTCATTCTCCTCTCCCGTCTCTCCATCCATCTCCACTCCACCGTCCGCTCACATTCGAACAGTGTTATTGTTTTATGCACATGGCGTAGACGCAGGCTGCCGGCGTCTCGTAATAGGAAGGCCACATTATGGCAACAGCACATCCTTCTCAACCTCCCTACGCCTTGCTCAACACGTCGCGCTTCAACGATCCCCACCTCCAACACTCGTAGACTTCGATGTCGCACATTTGTCTTACGTGTCGACACCTTGCACTGCGCATTTCATCCTCACTATCCACATGGCTGAAGCTTGTCTTGAGCGCGGAGGCTGACGACGCGACATCACACAAGACGACTTAAAGGCTGACACAGAGTGCAAAAAGGGATTCTCAAATGCTTAGCCTCTACACATCTTCTACTCACTTGGTAGACGTAAAGCCCAACGCTTTCGCCACCGACGTCGACGCCGCCGCCGCCGTCTCTTCCTCCTTCTCCTCCTCCTCCTCCTCCTCCCTCTCCTCCTTCTTCTTCCCTTTGGATGGTTTCACGCACACTGGGCCACCCTCGATGAAGTGCGGGCAGTCGGCCAGCGCGCGACTGGCCTCTGCCGCCTCCTGAAAGGTCACGAAGGCGTAGCCCTTCGACTCGTCTGTCTTGCAGTCCCGCACAATGTAGCAGTCTGTGACGGCACCGTACTGAGCGAAGTGCTGTCGCAGCTGGCTCTCCGTGTGGCTCAGTCTCAATCCACCAATGTACAGCCTCACCTGTGACGTTGCTGTTGTTTTTGTGATGGCTGTGGTGCTTTGGGCAAACATACTTTGATTAATCATTTTGCCTCTGTTTCGATTAGGCATGCCTTCCTCCCATCCCCATCTCCTTTCTCCTCCTACAGTTGATCATACTTATTCTCCGATCAAATCCCCTTACTTTCATAAGCTTTGTGTGGCAATTATTTCAATCCACGTACCTAGTTATAGAGGTGTTTGCTTTTCCGAATGATTAATAAATGCTATCCTTTTGCACCTACCTTCTTGCCTCATCAGCGCACAGGGGAAAGAGCTGTGGCAGCGGTATCAGACCATCACTCACAACAAGATCGAAATCGCTCAAATGTTGACCAACCTAAAGAAATGCAGAGCCCACACTGAGATGTAGTGCCTCTATACAACACATAAGCACAGTCTGCATCAACTCGCGCTGACTTCACATCATTTTGGCCTACGAAGAGAATTCGTCACTTCGCGCCGACGACTTGAAGCTGCATTCCTTCTGGAACATATCATTCGCATCGCCCTTGGATTTTTCGACTCACAACCTCTGTCAAGCATGTGCCCTCACCCTCGCCCTTCTCACTCAAATCAAGTGCCCAAACTGATGACCTCAACAAACAATCTCTTTAGTAAGGCTAAGCTTTGAAAACACCTTCCGCAAATCTTGCACTCCTTCAACTTCTCTTCCTAGACTCTACCCCCTGCTTTACCCCTTTAATCTCGGTCAAATAGCTGTGCTAATATTGGTGTTACTTTCCATATTTCCTATGAAACAAAAGCCTTGCGTTGACTTCACAACAAGCTAAGAAGTCACTGGCTCAAAAATCTTGTAGAGACAAGACCAACTGCATGACGCAACAAGAACAATTTTCAATTCTTTCACTCCTTCTCCCTTCGCCTGTGTCTCGCACTCCTCTTTCCCGACGTCAACTAAGAATGTTGAGAGCTCCTGAAGTGCATAAATTGCAAAAATCTCTCGCTGTTGCACTGTCATGAAACGTAGCACGCCTTTGCACAACGTCAAACACTCCCTTCGATTTGATGCACCCAAGTCAAAGACCTCTAGATCGTGTGAGAATTAGAATCTACCTCTGCCTGTCTGTGGGTAAATGAACATACAGCAACACGTTTGGCGACTTACCACTGTGAATATGTCGGAGAGATGTTTTTGCATTATGGGAAGAGGTGTAATACTCGACACCATCTCCTCCAATAATCTGACCTTGGTTAGGCACTTCTCCAACCAATTCTTCTCTGTCATCGCTTCCTTCATGCTCTGCAAAAGAGGAGAAGGTGTTGAGAATGAAAGTGAAGAGATGCTGAGACAAGCACCGGTAGCGGCAATTAACCAGTATGCATTACCACTCACTCTTGTACTTCCCACC